TTTAATGTTTTGCCCATCTATGCATCCACCCGATTCCCTAAACACTGATCCAGTTCAGGGCCATTGTGGGAGAGAAGCATCTCCCATGAAGATCAGGGCACAGGGCTGTGGACGTCAGCCCATTGCATGGTACACAGTCATACAGCGTAACCCGCAGCCTGCAGTGTGAGGATACAGTGCTGTCCATTGAGACACAAAGCTACCCTTGGCAAGATACATACACTTATAATGCTTCAGGTACAGTGTATGGCCGCACTATTAAAAATGGATATGTCAGAACTATCTATCCATCTACTAACCTTATCCTTAACACTCATCCTTCTGGGTTACAGGGCATCCAGAGCCTATCCTGGAAGCTATGGGCACGAGGTGAGGAACAACACAAGAAGAGGGGCCAGCCCATCACAGGGCACACTCACACACCATTCACACCTATGGGCAATTTAGTAATTCCAATTAGCCTCAGCATGCCTTTGGACTGTGGGGGGAAACTGGAATACCCAGAGGAAATCCCACAATGACACGGGGAGAACATGCAAACTCCACACACATGCACCCCAGGCAGAGACTTGAACCCAGGTCTCAGAGGTGTGAGGCAACAGTGCTAACAACCACACCACCAATTTTATGGCAGAACTATTAGATGGAAAATATCATTCTTAGTGGTTATAATTGACAGGTATCTCATAACTGCAGTAGAAACCTACTGGACCCTGTTTGTTCGTTAAGTTACATAAACCCCACATCTGTATTCCTGCTTTCACTGTCCCCAGAGTCTGCGGCTGAAGCAGCAATGGTCACTTCCTTTCCAACCAGCTGAGGTCCCTCCCTGACATACTTGACTGCATCTCAATGGGAATCTGACCTATGCATGTACACATGGAGACACTTACTGTAAGTGTGACTATTTACACAGCTACCCACTATGTACATAATCCCACAGAACAAATCCAGGCTGGGTATCCTGCTCACAGGCACAACATCAGGGCCCTTCCTGGCAGGGGCAGCCATAAGGTGCTTTCCCACCTTAACCCAGAAACTTAGTTCCGGGTTCTGAGTTTCTGGGCCATCCCTACCCGGGACTTTTGTAGTTCCTGGCCACTTCCATGTGTTGCTTTCCCACTGCACAACAGGAACTGGGACCTTTATGCTAAATAAGCATGGGAGACGCAAAGAGCTTGTAGGCTACACATCACATGTAATTTCATATGAAACTACACCTCATAGCAATGTCATTTTATTCGCTATTGGGGGAGTGTATTTTATTTATACAGCCTGCGACATGTACATATTGTGCGCTCCATTTGTCTTCGGATCCGATTTTCGGTTGCCAAGATTACTTCACATCCGCTAAAAATATTTATTATAACTAAATCACATCTCTATATTTGTAATAAAATCACATCACAAGGACAACACGCTATATGTGTGCTATATTAGTATATTCAACAAAATACTTTTTCTCATCTTTTTTGTTCTTGTAATGCCATCTGGATGTTTTTGTTGTTAATGTTCTTACGGTTTGGCACTTTCAGTACTGGAACTTTTGGTACTGGTACTCAACCAGAAGTCAATGGAAAAGCGAATCATGCCCGGCTGCGTGGTGCCCCTCCCCATACCGTAATCCACTGTGTCTGTTCTGTGTTCATGCTCGGCTGCGTGGTGCCCCTCCCCATACCGTAATCCACTGTGTCTGTTCTGTGTTCATGCTCGGCCCCGTTGCCCAATTCACCACTCAAATAAAGGGCGCTTTCCATAACACCAGATACCGTATTTTTGGTACTTTAAGAAGGTACCAAAAGTACGGTACTTCAAGGTGTTGGTTTTCCACTGCCGTAAAAACTGGTACCGGCACTGAATGACATCGCAACGCAAGGCAGGGTATTTTATACTCAATTCAAAAAATGGCTGTAGTAGGACTGGATAACGTGCAATATTAATACATCATTAATTAATAATAATTACATCATTAGTCAGCTAGATTAAGATCAGGGTTTTTCTTACCTTCAATTTGGTACAGATATTATAGCGCAGAAAGTCTCGCTAAAACATTTTTACTCTCATAAACACAAAACTAAGCAAGTTTCACAATTTTAATAGTTATTAATTTTCAAGATTATCTAGTATATGTTTAAAAATCAGTTTAAAAGTTACCTCCACTGCTTTTGCAAATCACTCCTAGACAGGTTCATGAGAAATTTATGTTGGGCTTCTTTTTTTGTTTCATAAATACCCCAATATTTATTACAACAAAATCACATTTCAATATTTGAAAAATTTCCAATACTGTGCTGTCATAGTATATTATACAAAATACTTTATTTCTTGTTATGCTATCCTGATGTTGTTGTATCTGTTCTTCCAACCAGATCACAATTAAAGCTTGTATCACTTCATTTGTCCACATACCCATTGTTATTAGTTTTTTTTTTGTTGTTTTTTACATGACGTAATAGGTCAACCGGAAAAAGCCCAATACTAACAAGCTAACAGGAGCATATCTCCATCTATTGTATTGGAGTCAGACATACTTCACTCAATAATTCTATTCCCCTCTTGTGTATGTATACAGGGACAAGGACAGTAGTCCGATGTGCATGTAAAGTAGTTACTGACTTTCCAAAGTGATGGGTGTGGGGGGTATTGACACTGACATTACAGCCTGATGGGCCATTGACATTATGCAAACTATTACAGGTGTGGTGACACCTATCTCATCGATATTCATTGTGTAGGCCACTGACTTATAGCGTCACTCCAAAGTTCTAACACTTTAGTAATCAAACCATATGAAATTTCTGAATGTCTCATGCACCTTAGTGCAGCCAACCCCTGTGTCTACAAGCTCTGGAGCTCAAAAGCCTTGGCCAGAAATGTTTATAATGTGATTTCTTTACAATTTCACAGTACCTCGGAAAATAGGTTTTTGAAAAGTGTATGTTTAAAGTTAAGAAATGACATTCTAAATGGTCTCAGATTATTGGTGCTCAGTTTGTGCTGAATAAAAGCATTTGTAGCCCTTTGGGATAAATATTTTTTTTAGATAAGTGAAATATGTAAAAATGCCAAGGCATGTCAGACTAGCAGGAAAGGGGCTGAGAGGCCTCAGACTGCAGAGACTTAACATTCTATTACATTTAAAGCTCCCTTCTAAAATGGATAAAAATCATGATTTAAAAAATGTTGACATCATGTGGCGTGTTTTATTTTTCTAATTCTCCCACTAAATGCGTGTCGGTTTTTATGCAGTAAAGGTAGGGCTGCCGCCCACCCTTAAGTTTACAGGATTGTCCCACATTGAAAACTAAAAGCTATGACCTGTTCAGAGCCAAAACGGCGTGTGATTTGCCTCATATAACAAATTCTATCGTGGGGGATTGGGGTATCTGCTATTTGTACTTCAAGCACCATCAATCAAGTTTCATGACTAAGATAAAACAAATCAATGTCCTGATAACCTGATAAGACACTGGGCTTTAACTACTGCTGAAATTTGTATGACTTTTGCTGCAGCAGGGAAAGAGCATCGGGCAAGTTCTGGTCGCTCCAAAAACGCTTGAAGTCTGCTTCATCTCTAAGAAGTTGGCTAATGACGATCCAGGAAATGTTGCATTCCTACCAGACATAACATAAACTCATTTTCCTTGTTTAAATCTCCACTAAAGTCAGGCTACATCCGTCACTGTAACTGAAATCACCCAGCTCCATTTGTGCATTTTGCAATCACACATCTACATTTTAGATTAAAGGAGTCCATCAGCACACTGCTGTTATCTTAGCATAAACACTACCTTTTCTGGTAATTTATCAAGAGGATATAATTTGTAAATACAGCCTATGCAGAGTACAACCTTCAGAGTACTAGACAGCATGTTCTTGGCCGGAGGAGGCTATCAAATGTCTTTGCTTACTTCACCTCTGCCTGCCCAAACAGTGTGAAACAAATTTGCCTGGTGTCTGAACGTACAGCAGAATCCATTTGGAGCGTCGGACGCATCATCACAATTAATATCATTTTCTCATTATTCAAGGACGTGTCATACATCTGCAGTCAAGAACACTGAATCTAGTACAAGTTGTCTATTGAGGTGACGTGTATAGTGCAACGGCTAAGGGTGTGAAGGTGTGCACTTGGGCATGTGAGTGAAATGTCACGAGAAATACTTAAACTGTCATGTGACCTTCCTATTCAGTCTGTAATTTCCAAACAGCCACCTATGTTTTGCTTTCGTTAGAGGTGGAACTTAGAGTAACAGAGGGTGATTTTCTATTGTCAAAATAATATGATTTCATCATTTATCGTAGTTTATATACATTTGTATTAAAAGGTTCATGTTTGAATGTATATATTTTTTCTAATCTCCATTTATTTATGTTTTACGTTTATAACTATTATTATTAATACTATTATTATTGGTAATCGCTTAAAAAAATGAAAAGTAGTATTTTTAAATTTTTGTACTTGTCATTTTATTTACTTATATAGTTTATGAATTTTTTTACCAATAAATAATGAATAATTTATTCTTGCATTGTGGCTGTTTTGTTTGTTATTCTCAAAGTAGACCAAATTAGAGTTTGGAGGATGATAATTTTTCGTCATTGCAGAAAGATTTCAGGGGGCTATACTGCTATACCACACGTCAAAAACGTTTACACGCCCTTTCTGTCTTGCAGGTCAGAACATAATGAATTACCGTAAAGCATATAATACAACTGCGTCACCTTTTTTCAAAGTTTGACCATACAAACTTAAATCAGGCAGTCGGTTGAGCTGTGAAATGCCGTTTACGTTTTACATCACTGATACCAAAAATGCTCCATATATATGAAAAACACAAACCCTTAGTAACTCCCACGTATATTGACTGAAAAGGTCCCAGGTAAGACAGCCTGAAACACACCTGGATATTGGAGACAAACCAATGCGTACACATCCGAGAAGTTCACTTTAAATCTTCAACATGGGTGTCTCTCAAAGTATTACATTAAAATTTTACCTGTTTCTCGCTGCTAAACCATGCTCCGTCCCAAAGCCTCATAATCCAATAAAAGCCGTGATGGCTGGATCACGTTTTATAAACTGGACCTGAGAAACATCTGCAAACATCAGTGCTAGGAGAGGTCGACTTCCTCATTCATTGAAATACTGAATTTAAAGGGCATGGGTCTTACCGGAACACATTTCGGCCGACGTAAATTTGTACAATGTGCAAAGCGATTCAGCCTATGTATAGGTGTATTCTATAAAAATTAAATTCTGTAAAATCAAGATTTAAATTGTGCGTATGTATATATACATATAAAATATTCTAATGTGTGTATGGTGTATAAAATGGGATTGTTTTATCTTTTGTTTTCTAATTTAGTTTTCTTCATTGGTTTAGGTAATTACAAGTGACAATAAATAAAAATATTTAACCGTTTTGCTGCATGTATTCTGCACAGAAGATATATAATCGATTATTCCCGAAAATTATGAGATGTAACAAATAAATTCTATGATCAAAATAAATACATGTATAGGCGTTTCACAAGTACTGTATGTGCATGAATGTTCTATTTTTGTTAATTAAATTATTGGTAACATACCTTAAATCACTGTTTTTGGGGGAACTAGTTGCACGCGCACAGGTAGCTTGTATTTTCAGAGTCAGGTTTGGCGAGTTGGAACTTTTCATTTCATTCATGAGTCTGCTGCCATCTGCTGGTAAGATGGTGGAGATGGCTTACAGGCATGTGTGTGAATTATGTCATCTCCTTACGCAGGGCTTATTTACTGGCGGTTCCAGATTAATGGTTCGTCCTAGAAAGATTCTTTCCATGTCAATTGATCTATTGCTTGAAACAATATACTTCTCCTACGAGAGTATGAAAAGCCAACGTTCCATTTTTGTCTTAACCCTTAAAAGTTCAAAACTTTACATCAGAGTACTGTAATAGTGCTCTTCATTCAGCTAATTCTTCATACACTCATTCCGAGTGAAGAACATGGACCAAATAAGTGTCACAATCCCTTTAATGGTGTTATAAGGCTAAGTTACTCAAGACAGGAACGCAGAAAATGATGTCAGCTAACCACCAGCTACAGAATGTGGGCGTGGTGACTAACTTGTGGTAAAACAAGCATTGCAGTTAGAAATGCATACTTCTGAAACCCAGCAGGTCTTAATTTGAGATGAGTCCAAAGATCAATTCATCCCTTTACAAAGCTACACACCAGCCTTGGTGTTTAGTAGTAGAATAGTCACTTCACTTTTCCTTATTCTATTTACACCACTGTTGTGTGAGCTGGATTGATGCTGCCAACGCACACAGCAGTGTAGAGTGACATAAGAAGATTCGTCACATGACAGAGACCCCTAGTGTTTGTATTGCTGCAAACGACACATAAGCCAGTGGCCATGTCGGGCATAAACCTGCATTTTTATAACTAAAACTCCATTATAGTGAAGCATGTGTGCATTTTCCACAGAATAAAGAAGACAGTCTAATTACACAGTAAAAGCCAATATCTTTACTTTAGTGAATGCAGGATACAAATTTGTACAACAATCTCTATTGTAATATTTTAGTCATTCAATAAAAAGTTCACTAGAATATTTATTGTATAATGAAGATAAAACAACACATTCAGGGAAATAAAATGCAAGATTAACTTAAAATTCTCTGTTGATCTCGAAACATTTTGTTTCATCCATGGCAACAAAGTCCAGCTTGTGCCGCCAAACGGTCTGAGTTTCCAAACCGCAAACAGCTTCTCAAGGGAACTATCAGCTACAAACAAACACGAGATGCGCACTTCTGTTTATAAAAGCCAAAGAGCAAAGCAGTGTACTGTCGCACAGCAAAAAGTGAAGCTGTCTTCTTCTCCCCCCCCCCGTCGTTCACATTCCACGGTTAGTGCATCTTTCGGTTTCAAAAACAGCAAACAGACCCAAGGAGTGTGTATCAGCACATATGCTTTCTTTAAATTTACTATGTATTTCTTGTGTGCACACAACATAGGAATTAAAACACTGTGGAACAGCAGAGGAGCAGCCTGAGATCAACACCAGTACTTCTTGTCCATTATTGGCTCCCAGTCGGAGGGATATATCCACGATAGCACAAAGGGTTCAGAGATTTAAAAAAATTTTTTTTATGAAAACGACACTTGTTCTTTGGAACAAGGCTGCATTTCTAAATATATAAAACTAGATATAAGCTACCTGATTCTGAAAAGAGATCTATTAAATACTTCTTTGGGTGTTATTTATTTAGATGCTGCTTCTTACTATTCATTACTCAAACTACTGTTATAAATGTTTCAGTTATTGCTGCTTTTATAATAAATGAATAGCCTTTTGACTGCATAAAATTGTAAGATATTCTTATGTTCAGCTAAAATGCATGATGCAATATGAGTTTATCACGAGGACTTTTCATGTTCGGTATTAGGCGCTGGTGAATTCCACGTTCCAGGCAGCTGTGTCACCTGTGCACTGCACTGCCTGCACTCCCCCCCCCCCCCCCAATAATCAGCAGAACATATGTGTTGGTTGTGCAAGGATTCAGGCCATCGGGTTAAACATGCGGAGGTAGAGATTAGTGTTGGTTGGGTGTGCGGTGATGATGACAGCTGTCATTTCTCTGTCCTTTAATGACCTTGGAGATGTTTTAAGGGTGACAGGAAACAGTCGCATTCTGTGTGATTAGGAAACGGACTCAGTCATAAGGGTGAGTATGATGAGATACAAGACAAGGGTGCACTTAACTGAGTAATGTACAATAAGCTGAAAGTGGACACCAACTGGGATACAGAGTGCATAGATCATTTTGGGCGCTATGGTTTGATTGGGTGGTGAGTGAAGTTGCCTATGCATAGGGAACACACAAGGAAATAGACAGCAAATGCAAAGGAAGGATCCTTCCGTATAGTGAATTCACGCACGCATAGAGGGGCGATCGACCCAGTTGTGAGGTCCACACAGGGCCCACTGGCTTGCTGAATAGTCCTGCAAGTTTCCCGACTCGTCACCACGGGGAGTTAAACGGTGCGAGAAGCACACGTGATGGCCACAACCGGCACCAAGCGGAGACCCCCCTTCTGATCGATCCTGTGACCTCGTATACATGATAAACATACCTAATACCCATAAATACCCATAGCATCTGCAGAGTTACAGCACAGCCCCCTCCCACGACATGTGATTAGGCTTTGGATCACTGCGAAACCAACAATGAATGAAACCTGATGGATGGAGGAATGGACGGATGCAAGAAAAGATTAAAATTCATTGAGCCAAATCACAAGAACTTGACCCAAGATTATCCAAATGTCTACAATTCACATTTGTGTGCATTTCTAATCTGTTTTTAAAGATTACATTACCTAAAAAGTGTCACTCCATGAGTATCACTGCTACACGCAAGACATATTCATCAGAAAAGTGAGTTTTTTTTTGTTTTTGTTTTTTTAACCAAGAGAGGATACCTTATATGTTAAGTTCATGTTCTATGCTTCTGTGTTCCTTGGGGAGGCTTGACCCTGGGTGTTAGAAAAGTAAAATCAGGGAATTCAGCAGCTGGATACCAGTTTTTCGGACAGGGGTTGTTCAACCAAAAGCCCCAATGCACAATCCCCGTTACTCTGGGCACTACAATCACCCTTTACAGAAAAATGCAGAAAGCCAAACCCTATGGTACAGACAGATGTTCACCGCCATTAAAGGGAAAACGACCCAGAAACTACCCTCAGAAAAAATGCTTATTTACCATATTAATTCAATTTCGAAGAAAGTACAGCATATTTAACAAAATAGTAAATATTAACCAGTGAATATTCTACTGAGTAAGGATGTCGCCTTGTAAACTTGGCGGTAAACCCACAAAAATATACTTTCTTTTCTTAAATCTGGTGAAGGTACAATACATAAGTACTTACACCAAGGTGATATATATATATATATATTAAAGTTGCTATATACACAACAAAAAGTAAAGTTTGGCTCAATTTTGAATTTACAAACAGAACAGCAAATATTCATGGCTTCGTTTGAGGTCTTGCTTACACATTACATTGTTGTTTGTAATAAAGCAAAAATGATAATAAACAATTTCAAATTAAACTAGTTTTAGGCAGAAAATATCAATCCAAAACTAAACAAAATAACTAACGTACAGCTTTGGCTTACATAAATAATTCATTCTGGCTCTGTTCCTACACAACTAACATTGTGACCAGGCAAAAGATTTCACTGACAAAATATCCAGGGTACAAACCATTTTTTTAAGTTTACAAACTTCGGGTAAACAAATATAAATAATTTCAGTCAAATTCCCAATTATAAATTAATATATTATTCTATGTGTGTTTTTTAAACATTAATTTGTGTGTGTTCCACAAGCTTAGCCAATTCTGGCACATAGACCAGGTACAACCATTGCAAGAACAGAGAAAACGTAAATTTGTACGGTAAGACCGGTCCCGTGCCAGATCCCCCACCTGCCACTCACCTGACCCACCGCCACCGCACACATCTCTGCCCGGTTCTTCCCATTTCTAACATTGCAGGTTTCATTACGTGACATCTAGTAAAAGCGATAGGTGAGGTAACCAAACTGGACATGCGAGCTCTGTACTGGGACCACAACGCGCAGATGCACCGGCGTGAGTGCACGGTGCCACCTGGCCCAGGACTGGCCCGGTCACTAAGAGTGCCTCTGCTGCCTCACGGCTTCTTCTCTAGACGCTGCACTGCTTAAGAACGTGAGCATCGGGTGCCTGATCACTTTTGTTCGAATGCATGAGTCCATTGTGTGTTTGTTTTTGGTTGTGAAACCTACTCGGATTGTACGTGTTTTCCAACACTTTGCGTTTCGTTTGCCTTTGTTCTACTTACAAAACAAAATAAAGTTAAATAACATGATAATAACAATAATATCATAAAAAGCAGAGCTGCCCCCCTGCCCCCCATACCCCCTTCAGAGGTGGACTAGCTGGTGCTTGGAGAGATTCTATGTAACCCAGGCATCCATCCGCATGCGCTTGACGGAGGGGCTGCCCCGCTCCTCCGCCCCCACTGGCGGCCGCCCCATGCCCAGCGGGGAGTGGAAATCAGCACGTGGCGGGTCCTCGCGGTCGCTGCCGTCGTACGAGCTGCAGGATGAGCTGAGGCTGTCGACGGGCGAGCGGCCCACATCCTGGCGTGCGGACACAGGTGCCGGTGGCTGGAATCCGCCTGAGGGGGCCAGGCGCTCGCGGGGGGGAGATATGGGCTCCGACTTGATGCTGACATTTTGATTGGTGTTGATGGAGAGGCTGGAACCCTGAGTTAGGTGGCTGCTCCCCCTGCGACGAAGTACACAGTCAGGTATGGGATTGTCCCTTAGTGTCACCCCAGCAAAGTACAGCTCAAGGCAGGTATGGGACTGTCCCTTAGTGTCACCCCAGCAAAGTACAGCTCAAGGCAGGTATGGGACTGTCCCTTAGTGTCACCCCAGCAAAGTACAGCTCAAGACCTTAAGCACTTTCACACCACAGGAACTTCTTTCAAGAGCCAGAACCTCCTTCCGGAAACAAGGATTTTTGTTGTGTTCACACCGCAGGAACTTGGCCCTAGTTCCTCAGAGGCAGTTCCAGAACCCTTTTTAGTACCTACTCCTATGAATTTCATTTTTGCTAGTCAGAGATATCAAAAACTCTATTCTTACTAGTAAAAACTGCACTTGAAGGTATCCAGAACTTAGACTCTCCTAGTCAAATATCTATGTAACATATCTTCAAATCTTTACCTGCTGCGTGAGGGATACTTACACCAGTGAACTGAGGGCAGCCTGGCCAAGCTGGTGCTGTTGCCATGCCGACACAGAGCCCAGAGAGAGGCCCCCAGGTGAGGTGAAGCCCTGCATGGAGGAGAGCTCAGCGCTGCTCAGGGAGTACTCTGAAATGCACAGGGAGGGCACACGCGGTCACCAACAACAAGCGCAGAGTCACTCGGGGGAATCTTGCAGAGTCAGGGATTCTGACACCATAACTCAGGTGTGGGGAATCGGTTCCATGGAGGGCCAGTGTGGGTGCGGGCCTCCATGGCACAGATTCCCCACCCCTGCCATAACTAGTCAGATACGTGGTCACTAACTGCACCACTGTCTTACCACTGTAGGCAGTTGGCATGGCAGAATAGACCAGGCTCTGCGGGGGCAGGCTGGGGGTGGTGACAGACACCACCGGGGTGGCGAGCGGCTGGGTGGCCTGGGAGCTGCTTATTCTCTGGGGGTTCTGCGAAAAGGCAAAGAGCAAGCGGTCAGCTGGCTGAGGGCTGAACAGAGAGGAGCAGTGGAGCCACTGGGCGCTGGCCATGTGCAACTAGGGATTTTATATTTGGTTTAAAAGTACAAGGAGCCTTTGCCTAGCACTGTAAAAAACATGCTAATCAAAGCTTAGCAGAAGAACAGTTATAACCACTAGTAAATCTATTTACATTAATATTTGACAGCTAAATAATATATAATGATTCTGGTATTTTTGTGTCAATTGTTAAGTATGAAGACAGCCATATGATACCTATGTAAAGCACAGGACAGTTTTTATAAGACTAGTACAAAAGATGCAATTCAAAATTCCACCACTGGTAGGCGCTATGGCTCCACTGAAAAATGTTTTTGATTATAGAACCTTTCAGTGGTTTCTTTAAAAGGACAATATGTGAATTACACACAAAAAAATACAAAAACTCGCTGGCATGTAGACAAAATTTTTTTAAACTTTTTTTAGCATGGCTAATCTTTCCATTATGCATAAATTTGGACTAAAGAATAAAGACCGTGCCAGTACAATTGTTAAGCTTAGCTAGAGTGAGTAGTGGTAGACTGAGAAGCAGACAGATGTGTCATTAGCCTCTGTGTCCCATGTTCTTCACTAAGAGCCCAACTGTGTTCAGCACATCTGGAGAGTTTCAAAACCCAGAGCAACAGAGTGAAAACAGCATAATCAGAGCGTGCTGCTCAAGGTTTCGGATTCAAGGTTTCCAGAAAGACGAGCTATAATGTATCACTGCACCTCGCCTGTGTAAACGAGGCGACACAGGGTACCTGGAGTTTTAACCAGCTATAACCAAAGGAAGTCTCCGCAGGCTAGTGTGTGAGCGCATGTAAGCATGTGTGTTTGGGAGTTTGTGTGACTGCAAAAATATTACTGATAGGGGCAGAGCAGTCAGGAAGTCTACCTCAGTTTGCAAAAGTATCCCCAAATAATCAATACACTTGAATTCTCATCTGAGTCGATCAATAATTAGTAGCTAACGCAGTTATTTATAATCGCAATGCAACATGAATTGGTTTCAGCAGAAATTGGGCTGGTTGCTGGATCACAGCTTTGGTTCTGCCTCTTGCCATTTCAGCCAGAGTAGGGACTCTCCCAGTAACTGGGTCTTGCCTAACAAAAAGTCCCTCAAACACACTCACCTGTGATCATTCTCCTTTGTTTAAGTTCTCCGTTATACGAGTATCCGCCCTCTAACTTGCCCTTCCGCTTAGACCTGTACGTGTGCTGACAGAAGCACATTACTACTGCTACTATTGTGGAGTTTATTTTCAGACCAATAATGTCACAAAAATGTGTCCGTGAATAAAGTCTAGCACGAGTGTCTGAATACTGCTTTGTTTTAATGTTCATTTAAGAGACAGATGTGACTTCTTGTGTTTCACCCCACTTCCTTGTAAGAGCCACGTTCAAGCTTAGCTCCACTGTAGACTGTTAGAAACAGAGGGAATTAAGCCTGTTCACTTCCTTCCTTTTCCATGCAGACGTGTGACTGCATATTGCTGCTCTTTCCACCCAGATGAAATCACTCTGTTTAGACATTTGGTGGGTGACATCATCCCAGATGAGGTCACCCTGTTCATTTTAAGAAATTGATAAAAGAAAAACAAAAGGGGAAATAAAACTTTGTGGTTATTTCAGAGGAACCCTGTTGGTGGCAGAATCTCCAGGTTGGTCCTGAAATAAAACGGCCCGTCTAGTTTATAAAATCCCAGATATTGCAGGTGGAGGAGATGATGGTTCTGCAGTATTTCTGTTTGAGCCGAGCAAGTCAGTAGGCATCAGGCCGGCCTGAGAGAGGCTCCTGCACCTGCGCAGCTCCTGCTCTCTGATCCCTGAAGGAGGTCATTTGAACCCGACAGGAAAACAAGCCTGCTTGAGGAGCAGACAGAAGCAGTGCAGGGAACGTTTGGTTTAGTGCGGCTCAACCCAGCCAACCTCCTGGCCAGCCAGTGAGCACTTGTTCCACTTTTCTCAGGTGTTTGTAGGGCTTGCTATTTCAATGAAATAACATGGTCTAGGTATTAGTCACAGTCCAAAGGTGTACATTGATTCTGCTGTAAAAATAAACGGACAGATAAACATTGAGACAAATTCAGGGCAGTGCTGCAGTGACCGGGGGTGCAGTGACTGGCGGTGGGGGGGGGTCTTGGTGACATGTGAGTGCTGATCCTGTCCCATCCATCCACCCCCTCAAGTAGATCTACATGCATGTTGAGGCCACAGACACAGCCATCGCTCGTGACAACAATCATCTCAATCTCATCCCAACAGTCAAGCAGAGAAGCTCCTTCAGGCCTCAAGCTCCAGTCCGAGCTCTAAGTTTACAGCTTTATATTTTCTATTTGTTTCCTCCAAGTGAACTCAAACATTTGCAGCCATTTTCTTCACCAGGCATACTCATCAATTCCGTCTCCTCCTCCTCTGCTCTCATCACAGAATAAAGAGAGAACACAGGAGTGTCACCGAGGTCAGGGCGTCTCCTTTTCATTCACACAGATCTGGGGGCACTGCAGTGCGCGGGTTTGCGGCCCCTGGGCTGTGGTGACTATACCAAAGCCTACAGCGACACAGCCATGAATGAGGTTACTCGCGTTACTCTGTCAGCACTTCTGTCAACATGCTTAACAGTCAATTCAATAACGTGATCAATCCTCCAAGGCTCCCACTCACTTATAAGTCTTACCATTTACTTTAATTGAAAATATAGCCAAAGCAGGCAGGGGGTGGGCTTGGGGCTTGGGGCTCATACGTGGGGTGTGTTAGCGGGGGGGCACGCCTGGTTTTATTGGGTGTCCTATGGGGCTGTGGCTGTCCTTACACATCTCCTCTGTGTGAGCTGGGTGTGGCCAGCAACAAGACTTCACCAGTCAGACCAGAAAGATTTTCACCTGTAAGATCAGGTTAATCCTTCATGACCTAATGAGATGCTGACTGACAGCACGTATTCTGTTACATAAAATATTTTAAGTTGGCAGGTACTTCAACGAGGAAACCTACCGTAATTTATACTCAATTAGCCAACATGCACAAACACTTCGGTGACATGCTAAGCTTTGTCTCACTGCTATCATCTACAAATGTTTCCTTTCCCTGCATCTCAAGTTTAATTTTTATGACAGGCATGAATCTAAATGACATCGGCATGGTAACAGGATATTTGTTTCTGGCTCTGGGCTAGAACAGCGGTACCCAGGAAACCCAGGAAATATTTACCAAACCAGCACGGCTCCTTGCGAAAGCTAATGCTAACTCAAGAAAGCAGACGGAGGCTAACAGGCTAACATTTTCTGGTGTACGGCATCAACTCATGAAGCCTCAGGTGCTCACTGCGGTCAGAAGCATTTTGGCTTTAATTACAGTAATTAAAGAAAAGTTTCAGTTTGAGTAACTGGCTGTAAAACACCTGGGTTCTTGGAGGTATTCCAATAGACAGCCATCTCAGGACCTGCCATGAAAATGCTGTATTAGCACCAGTCACCAGGGAAGCCTTGGAGCGCTTGTTTGTTGGGGGGGAACAGCAGAGTAAAATCTGTACAGCAAATTCTGAGAAGCACAGGAGGCCAGACGTGACCCCATTCAGTATCTGTTCTGTTGGACCACGACACGTACAGCACCGCGGCCGGACTGGCCCCCGTTGGTCACACTCACCAGAGGCGGCATCATGCCCTTGCTGGTGGGGGGGATGACTACCCGCAGTTCTGGCTTGCGGTTGCTCATGCCCAAGCTGCCCCCTGGTGGGGGGGGGGACTTCGTGGGCATGGTCTTGCCCAGGCCGTTGCCGCTGGGGCTGCCCAGGAGTCCAGGGGAGCCGCGCGGGTTGACGAAGCCGTTCCCTGAGTGAACATACGAGAAGGAAGGCATCTGTCAGCTGGCTGAGGGCAGAGCAGCGGAGAGTTGCAGGCAGCCAGTACGACACGCTACACACACCACCCAACCCTGCGCTCATCTGCCAGAAGAAACACAGAAGCACTCACTGCCATACAGCTGATGTCTAAATAATTCATCTTGAAAGTGGTATCAGAGAAATAATCTGCAAAATAGTAAATTCAAGTAAGAGATGTCAGTGAGTCCTGTTAGAAATAACCGATTTTAGATTGAGATAAGAACAGTCTGCACTGCGCTGTGACGATAAACTTCTGAGACCTTGAGGAGAATTAATATTTAGAATTTTTATTATTTAGACCCTTCAATGACATTTTTCAATGTTGGTATCTCACAACAAGCACCTGAGACTCTAAGCTGGGCCCCTTTTCCCCGACAGCCAGCCAACCGGCGCCCTGCGGCACAGCTTTATAGAACAAACACACACGCAGGATGCCTTCTTCATCTGCAATTCTCAGCTTTCAGCTTGCATTGTGTTCTGTATGATTAAAACTTTGAAGTCATATGCAAGGGACTGCAGTTCAGATGAACTGTGAATATTTAAATTTTACTGTACTTTTAAATAAAAGCAATTATTGAAGATGCATGAATGCATGGATGAAAAAAACTTGCTCGGTGTTACTGAGATCAGTGTGCTGGGTCACTTTTCAGAGAGACTGAAGCCCCTATCATTCCTTAGTGATGTCATATCCTGACAGTGTATTAAATCTTCCCATGATTCAAAAGCAGGCAGCACAGGTGCCATCATAACATCTGCAACTTGACATTGTCTGAACTTCCTACAGCAGCTTGCTATGGTACAGCGAGCAACAATACAACAATAATTCAGAAAAAAATCTATATGTGGTTACAGACAAACACAGGAATTAGTCAGAGTTTCCTGAATATAAATCAGTATCAGGATAGAAAAGCTCCAGAAAATACCTTTTAATGTGTAATATATTTCACAAAAAGACTTTACAGTCTACCCTGGCAGCAGGATTAATTAGCATTTGTATACATCTAAATAAATATATGTGTGAGTGAACAGTATTTGACTGAAGTGTGCAGATACCTCTAGTCTCCCACAAAAATTACTGGCCCATTTCCACATTTATGAGCTGCAATTTATCATAAAAAACATCCAAAAAAGGCAAACAGGCATCCGAAGGCTGCACACATTCCTAAAGACGCCAGGCAGCTGTTCAAATGCACAGAGGGCAACAACTGCAGCTCTGAGTCTATACTAATAAAATTACTCTGTAATGATACTCAGTGATGCAAGTTAAAATGGGCATAAAACAGAGCATTTGGAGTTGTTTCAGTTCCACAGAGCATAACTCGCATCCGAAACAGTTTCAGAAAAGTTTCACAGGCTTCTAACTGTTAAAGAGTAAAATCGGATGGAGTGCAAATTCAAGTGTCATCAAAAATCAGATGGCTGAAAACAGTAACAGAAAAATCAATATTTGGGATTAAATTTCAAATGCCGCACACTGGAACTTGGTAATGAAAAGTATATAATGTGCTGGGAATCAGTTTTTAGGGGAAAGTGCAGTTGGAGGTTTGGAATACACAAATAGACTTTGGACAGTAAAGTGATAAGATTTAAAACACTGCTTAGGGTTGAGTGCACTCTTGTCATTTAGCTTTACATACAAATTCCTTAAGCATGACAATATATTGGGCAGGTTAATGATTCACGGTTTTCATGCATCTGTTGAGTATCTTTGAAGTAATTATCATCCTGTTGGTCTCAGAAGATGGGAAGAAGCATATTATTATCCATTTATAAAGCTGAGATTATTACAGTAGAAAGTCAAGGGCCATTTGTCAAGGATATGACTCTTCTGCCACAGGTAAAGTACATATTAAATGTTAAGAGGAGCTGTGTTTTACACATGAATAAAAACAGAGGAGCCCGACGCCATATGCAATCTGGTCAAAACGCCACACGGCATTCCTGAACGGCGATGCATCAAATTACGAGGGGCAGACCAATGGAAGCATTTCAGTCCAAACAAACATAACGTTATGGACTAAAGGCATCTCGGGTGTATGAGG